TAAATTAATTAAAAAATAGTCTTAATGATTATTGAAAAACTTGGTTTAGATAAGTTCGCAGCTGTTGTTACAAATGTGGCTTCAAATTGTAATCTAGCACATCGAAAAATACAAGAAATGTATCCACATATTTGGAATATCTAATATGTAGCTTATGCAATTAATCTTATTGCTACTGATTTAGTTAAATTATACCAATTGAAAAAACTAATTGCTGATTGTGAAAAAATTAATTATTTTTTTAATACTTCTCATTCAAGTCATTTATTGCTTACTAAAAGATTTATGAATATGAAAATTAAAGGTGGCAGGCTAAAAACATGGATAAAAACTCGTTGAGGTCTTTATATTTTACTACAGATTCAATACTTCGTGTATGGCCCGTTTTTGATTGAATAAGTATAAATTATTAAATATCTTTATAATTATTATATATATTAATAAAAATAAATTATTTTTAGTTATTTTCTGAGCATAATGAGGCAATTACAAATCAAGAAATAGCCAATTTAATAGCTAATGAAAATTTTTTTATTACGTGTCGACAAGTGCATTCTGTTTGGCAACCTATAAAAGAAGTAATCTATACATTAGAGACTAATAAAACAATATTAGCCGATTGCTTTGCGTATTTAATCAAGTTGGCTATAACTATTAAATGCTTACCTAAAATAAATACATTTAAGACCTCCACAATTTATATTTTTAATCAACGATATGAAGAATTCTTACATCTATTTTATATTTTGACATATTATATTCATCCACAATATAGAGGTATAGCACAATTATATATTATAAAGCAAACAAGTTTTGTAGATTACTATATTTTTATACTATCAGCTATATACATATCATAGTATATTGACCAAAGTACTCAGGGTCTAATACATTCTAACTAAAAAAACTTATCAAGTACCCATGGGTATCTTGATTGATGAGAGTATCTTGTATAGGGTACTTTGTACAGTCTTATATATATATACAGAAATCAATATGTTAATGCGAAAAATGCTATGCAAAATATCTAGGTATTATTCATAGTTGAAAACAAATGCTATACAAAGTACCTGGGTATTTTGAGTAGAAGTACACAAAAAAAGGATATTTTGGTTAATGCACTATGGTAATAGTTATTTATTATTGTTATTATTTATATGTAATATATGTACAATAATAAAACTATTTTATTGTAGTCAATATATACTTTTCTTTATTTATACATATATAGTATATAATTTTAAAAAAAATTAAAATTTTTTAGGAAAAGGTTTAAAAGACAACAGGTTTCATAAAGCAGCTTTGTGTCTCTTGAGCTCTGACAAAACCTTGGATATACTTAGTCAGAAGGTGAAGAACTAATTATACAAATACAACAATTTGATGCACAATTATCACTATTTGATTTTCTTTATGTTTCAGGTATAGACACTCTAAAAAATTTGGTAGAGGTCTTTTAAAAACCTACCTTGATATTTAGCTAAGTTAATCTATAGAATTTTTTTAATTAATCCTATACAAGCGGGCTGCAAAAAGAACTTCTCATTGTTAAAGTAGATTTTAGGGGATCATCACACTAATTTGAATATAAACAGGCTAGAAAGAATATCTAAAATCAGGTCATATTACATGACAAATATCTAATATAAGCTAAACTTTTCTGATAAAGAATTAACAGAAGCTGATCTTTGAAATACATGTAATATATCTTCAGTTAGTAATATTATGAGTTATGAGGAGAATCAAATAAGAGATGATGAAACTTCGTCAGATACATTTAATAGTTCTACAATCTTATTAATTAATAAAATTGTTGACTTGAAAATTGAAGAACATTCAAAATCTCCTGTAGCAGAAACAGCCCAAGCTGTTTTATCTGAAGATTTGGATTATAATCTTTCTGATGTATTAAATAGTTTTTTAGAATGTGAAAAGCAAAATAGGTAAAATAATTTGTATGCACAATTTAATAACAAATATTAAATAAATGCTATAGCTTAAATAAATCCTACTTTTAAGACAATTATTAATTATTAAATTGCAATCGATTACTCGTTCTATATTATTTATTAAAAATCTATCTAAATTTATACTAAGGTATTGATTTTATTTAATCTATTTTAATATTACTGTCTGTGAATTTTTATTGTAATGCTTAAGAAGTCTAAAAATATCTGTGTGAAATTCAAATATTCTAGCTTTCTCAATTTCAGATATTAACATTTTACAACTAATAGTACCAGTAATACAAATTTTTTAAAACATCAAAAGTGTTTAAAATTATATGATATATATTGACTATATTTTATTTACACTTATAGTATTAGTTATAATTATATAATTAAACTACTTTTCTCTAATGCATATAAGCAAGACGATAAGTTTTAATCTGCAAGCATTGAGGTAGAGTATAAAAAAAACTATATAATCTATATTAAACAAGGTTTTAACATAAACAATAGTGTGATTTACAAAAAT